GGGGGGGGGGGGTGGTATTTGAGCGTAAATGAAGAACTCGCGACTCGCGACTCGCGACTCTTTGTTTTTCGTGCATTATATTGTGCTTGCATGCGCGTTGGGCGGCGCCGGCGCGCGTGCAAGAGGGGGGGTTAGGGCGCGGCATGCGCGGGTGGGTGCATGCATGGAGCACATCCATCCCTTAATTTTTGCCAAACGATCGAATCGTGAATCTTGGCGCGGGGGTGTGCGTGCCTGTCTGCCTTTCTTGCAACGCCCATGCGCAAGTCTCTCTCTCTGTCCCCCCCCCCGCCCCCTCGGCACTGCCAGGTTCATTCGATTTCGAATCTTTCATTCGACGCTGAGCTGAATATGCACGGTATAAGAAGATCCCCTCTTCCACATCCCTCCTCCTCTTTGGCAACTCGAGCCAAGAAAACGCGCGAAGCTGAGAAATTACGAGCTTATGCTGCGCTTGAAGAGTCGATCTTTTCTGCTCGGCGTCGTTGGAGAAGGAGTGGGGATGAAGTAGCAGGAGCAGGAGCAGGAGAGAGCGCGGGGGAGGAAGATGAGGAGATGGAAATGTTGAAGAGGACGGGAGAGTTGTTGGGTGTGAATCCGGAGGTCTACACGGTTTGGAGCTTTAGGAGAGAGATCATGCAGAGGATGATCGGGAGGGCCAAGGCTGTGAAGGGCGAGGGCGAGGGCGAGGAAAAGGAGGAGGAGGAGCGGGACTTTTTTGAGAGTCTGAAGCACGGCTATGCTGAGGAGGCGGAGGAGCGGCAGCGGCAGCAGGAGCAGCAGCAGGAGCAGCAGCAGCGGGAGGAGCATCGGGGTGTTGGCGCTCCAGCTCAAGCTTCAGCTTCATCTCGAGCATCACGCTCGCACTCGCATTCTCCCCACCTCGATCATCGCCAGCAGCACCACCAGCATCATCAACATCAACAGAGAGCAAGAGATGCGTGCGCAAGGCAACTGATAGGAGCAGATGTCGAATTGACGCAGCATGCGCTCAAAGCTCATCCCAAAGTGTATTGGATATGGAATCATCGAGCTTGGTGTCTTGAAAACCTTCCTTTGGATGAGGATGAGGTGGAAGAGGGGCGTGTGGATAGGCAACGGGAACGCTTGCAGAGTCCTCGCAAGTGGAAGAGGGAATTGAAATTGGTGGATGGCATGCTGCAGATGGATGGCAGGAATTGTGAGTTGCG